ACCCACCAGCCCCACTCCACCGGCAGCCCTCCCCTCTCCTCTTCTCCATCTCCTCACAACACCAGGTCAAATTTTGTCTCCCGCAGCCTCGCATCCTCAGGCACCCCAAGCCTGTCACACACTGCATCCATTTCCTTCCCGCCTGTCCCCACTCCCAGTCAGTCCTCCCTTACCTCCCTCCCCACCTCTACCCCACCCTTGTCGAGTTTGTCTGCCTCCAGCACCAAGCTCCTTCCTTCGTCACCCAGGACCACACCCAGCCCCTTCACGTCCCACACTCTGACTTCCCAGTCTCCCACCTCTCAGTCTACGTCTCTCACCTCCCAAACCCCCACGTCTGGCCTCTCGTCTTCCACCCTGGGAATGACAGCCATCCTCAGTTCTCCGGTGACCAACCTCACCACCGGACAGTCTAGCTCCAGTGTGCAGCCGACCACCGTGTTCCTGCCCGGCTCCACCCCGAGCCGTGGAAGCTCGTCCTTTCATACTGTGGAGTCATGGTCGAGCCGGGGCACCCCCGTCTCACCCCTGGCCTCCTCTCCGACCAGGTCCCCAGGTGAGGAGTATCTCTGGGGCCCACTCTGCCATCTTGGCTTCCTCCAGTGCAGCCTGGTGACTCTGGAGCGTACCCTCGGTCTCTCCCCCCGGGGCCCCCGCCTCTTCCCTTTCTCCCAGCCTTTTGGGACCTCTTGGGCCGTGCCTTTCTCTCCCAGCCCGCACTCCCCACGCGGCTGTGCTCCATCCAGCCCTCCCCACACATTGCCGACAGCAGCTCACTGGTCATCGCGGCGTGGGATCTCCTTTGTCCCCCAGCAAGCCTCCTTTCTCCTGGGTCGGCAGGCCACACGGCAGACTGAACCTCTTCCCTTACGTTCCACACGGGCAGCGCCTGATGTCGGCGCTGCTCTGCCTGCCGCCGGGGTGCCAGTGGCGGCTTGCCCAGACTGTCTGCCGGGGCCCCTCCTTGTCCCTTCCGAGAGGACAGACCCCTGCAGGGAGCTTCCGAGATGCTCTCTCTCCTCCAGGATATTCACGTCCTCCCCGTTCCCCCCCGGCTCTGGTCCCAGCTGACCAGAGACGCCCATGTGCACAGGTCAGTGTTGGGCCATGAGGGTAGGAGCCTGAGTGTAACTCAGCAGGGATCAGGAAACCCTTGACCTCGGGGTACCCCCAAAATAGCCAGCTTCCGGAAGGAACACACCACATGAGAGAGCATCAGCCTTGGTTCCCATGCACAGCTGTGAGGTCCGAGGGCAGCAGCGCTGGAACAAGGGGACACGGCCTGGGACAGGGGCTATAGTGCAGGGGCGAGGGCCCCGGGGAGACCGCACTGTGGGCAGGCAGGCATCCTGACATCTTGTGAGCAGCAGCGGCTGTGAAGCTTGCAGCTTGCTCCCTCCTCACTCATGGGAGCCTCGTGAATCCCCGCCTCACTCCTCCTGCCCCCTGGGAGGGTCAGAGTGTGTCGCCCCCCACACGTGCATTAGGGCTGGCAGCTGACCACACCTATCTGCCTCCCAGGGATCTGCTCGGTGAAGGAGCTTCAGGAGGAGGTCACGTACAAGGGGTGCACGGCCAACGTGACGGTGACCCGCTGTGAGGGCTTCTGCCCCTCCTCCGCCAGGTGAGCTGCTGGCCCCAGGCTGCGAGCCTCCCCCATCTGAGCGCGTGCCAGCCAGTCAGGTGGCCAGGCCGGCGCCTCAGCCTGCCTGGGGCAAAGGCAGACCCTCTCCTGACTGCCCGGGAGCTGGGGAGGCCAGCAAGGGCAGGGGGCACGCTCCTCAGGGCCCCCTTGGCCCAGGCACTTGGCACCGCCCTTCTCCCTGGAGCCGTCCGGGAGGAGCAGGGGTCGCACTGCGGGGCTGGTTGGGGAGGAGCAGGAGGAGCACTCCCGGGGCAACGGCCCTGACCCACGCTTCCGGCTGTGGCTTCTTTGTAGTTTCAACGTTCACACCGAGCAAGTGGATGTGCACTGCAGCTGCTGCTACCCTCTCAGCTCCTACGAGAAGCAGGTCGTGCTGCCCTGCCCAGACCCCGGAGCACAAGGACAGCGGCTGGTGCTCACGCTGCAGATGTTCAGCAGCTGTGCGTGCCACCCCCGGCGCTGTGGGGACTAGGGACACAGACCCCGGGCGTGAGGACGAAGCGCCGCTCTCGACACCACCCGCCCTCTCCCACCCCCGACGCTGGCTTGT